AGCCTGAGGCTGTCTCAAAAAAAAAAAAAAAAAAAAAAAAAAACAAGTCCATTTAGAACAGCAACAGGAAATATAATAAAATACTTAGGAATATAAGTTTAGTAAAAGGTCAAATTTTATACTCTAACAATTACCAATTTTATACTCTAAAGACTACCAATATTATTTAAAGAAATTAGGGAAGATTTAAATAAATGGAAAAACATCCCATGTTCATAGCTTGTAAGAATTAGTCTAAAAATAACAATACTTTCAAAACTGATCTGCAGATTTGATGCAATCCCTGTTAGAACCTCAGCTAACTTTGTGGAAAATGACAGGCTGCTTCTAAAACTCAAAGAATTGCAATAGAGCCAGAATAGCCAAATCAATCTTAAAAAGAACAAAGTTGGAAGACTGTCACATAACCTGATTTTAAAACTTAACCATAAATTGGTGTTAATCAAGATCGACAGTGTGTTACTGGTGTAAGGACAGACACATAGAACAATGAAAGGGAACATGAGTCCAGAAATAAAAAATTAACTCAAAGGTATCAAAGTCATATATAAGAGCTAAAACTATAAAATTATTAGGAAACAAGGGTAAATCTTCATGACCTAGGATTTAGCACTGAGTTCTTAGCTATGACACAAAACACAAGTAACAAAAGAAAAAGATAAATTGGAATTTATCAAAATGAAAAAATTTTTTTTTTGAGACAGAGCCTCAAGCTGTTGCCCTAGGTAGAGTGCTGTAACATCACAGCTCACAGCAACCTACAACTCCTGGGCTCAAGTGATTCTCCTGCCTCCGCTTCCCAAGTAGGTGGGACTACAGGCACCTGCTACAATGCTTGGCTATTTTTTGGTTGCAGCCATTGTTGTTTGGTGGGCCTGGGCCACAGGCACCAAGCCCAAAATGAAAAATTTCTACTTCCCTGTTAAGAAAATGAAAAACCCGTGCAATGGGAGAAAATAATAGCAGATTGTTTATCTGATAAGGGACTTCTAACCAGAATAGACAACTCTTAACAATAAAAAAGACACCCCAATTAAAATGTGGACAAAAGATCTGAATAGACATTTCTTCAAGGAAGACTGCATCATCAGAGAATATAAGTCTACAATGAGGTAATATATATATATATATTTTTTGTAGAGACACAGTCTCATTTTATTGGCCTCGGTAGAGTGCTGTGGCATCACAGGGATCACAGCAACCTCTAAATCTTGGGCTTGGGTGATTCTCTTGCCTCAGCCTCCCGAGTAGCTGGAACTACAGGCACCCACCACCCTCGGTATATGGGGCTGGCGCCCTACCCCCTGAACCACAGGCGCCACCTGATGAGCTAATACTTTAAACTCTAGGATGGCTATAATCAAAAAGTCTGATGAGTATCAACAATTGAGGATGCAGAGAAATCAGGACCCTCATATATGGCTAGTGTGCAAAAAAAAAAGCTGCGCTCACTTTTTTCAGTCTGGTGATTCCTCATATGATTAAACATAGCATAAAATTATCAATGATCCAGCAAGTCTACTCCCAGGAATATACCTCAGTGAAAATATATGTCTACACAAAAACTTGTACATAAATGTTTTTATCGGCATTATTGACACTAGCTCAAAGGTGAAAACAACCTAAATGTCCAACTGATGAATGGTAAACAAAATGTGGTAAAAAAAAAAAAA